CCTCCCCCCCCCCCCCATAAAAGCAGCCATCTGTCCAGCCCAGGTGGGCCGACTCCCGACTTCTGCCCGTCCTAGTGCTCAATCAATGAGGTTTCCTCAGCTTCGCCTCCTCCTGGGGTTTCCATGGGAATCCTCCTCCCACACAGAGTCCGAGGCTCCTGGGATAAAAGCTCAGCTGTCAGCCAGCAAGAAGAGCAGGAGCTAGGAGGCAGGAGGATTGCTGGGGGGTGGGTGTGGGTGTGAGCAGGCCTGCCTACTCTACAAGGTCATTTGAAAGACACGCAGAACAGATCCAGTGGGACCATGAACAGTCCTGCTCAGTGGTGTAGCTTCCCCAGATACCTGTGGTTTGCTTCATAGTACAGCTGGGAGACCCAGCCTTGGTTCAAGCTGAGGCAGAGCATGGCAAACAGGATTGAGGAGGGTGCTGCCAGTGAGGCCCTCTAGGGAAACATCTATTAAAAGGACCTAGTAGTCTCGTTTATCTCCTACCTCACTGGACATAATGGCTTGTCTGAAAATGGGTTTCCCGAAAGAAAAGCCGGACCATTCACTCATTGCTGGAAAAGACAGGGGTGTGATTCACTGTAAACACAATTCACAGGGTCACAACCCAGAGAGGCGATACTAGCCCCACTTGCAGAAGTAGAATGTCCACACCAACTTTCCTGCCAACCCCCCTAAGTGTAACAACTCACAGCAAAGTCTTAAACTCCGCCTCCTCCTTCTGTGCATCCTTTCTCAAAACCTGCCCTTCTAGCCCTCTGCAGATGTCTCCAGCCCTGCCTACCCTCCCTGACTCAGCCTCTGGCTTCTCTAGATGCAACGTTGAGTGGCTTTGTAGTGCTTTCTTTCCATCTTAAGCTTCCCCCTGAGCACACGGCCACCTTCTCAAAACTGTGGCACATCTGGGGTCCACTGGAACTTGAGAATCATAAGTCCTGGGCTGAGCTCAGGCTCTTCCATCTCTCATTACCCTCTCTGTCACTCCCACTCAATGCCTTTTACTTCCCCTAGGTGGTGTTAGGCCTTAGGGCAATGGTTCTCAACCTGTGGGCTGAGACCCCTTTTGACGGTAAAGGACGCTTTCACAGGGGTCTCATATCAGAAATCCTTCACGTCAGATATTTACATTAGTCAGCAGCGGTGGCTCATGCCTGTAATCCCAGCATTCAGGAAGGTAGAGGCAGGTGGATCTCTGAGTTCTAGGCCAGCCTGGTCTACAAGGTGAGTCCAGGACAGCCAAGGCTACAAAAAGAAACCTTATCTTGAAAAACCAAACCAAACAAACAAAAAACCAAAATCAAATAAAATCACATATTCACATCATGATTCATAACGGTAGCAAAATTACAGTTATGAAGTAGCAATGACAATAACTGTACAGTCGGGGGTCACCACAATGGGGGGGGCTGTATTAAAGGGTCACAGCGTTGGGAGGGCTGAGAACCACTGCCTTACGGGGATTACTGAAGCAGTCTCCTAGGGAGGGCCTGTGATCTTGTCTTCATTCTTTAACCCACCCACCTCGTAGCCAAAAGGCCAAACCCAACCAAACTGCCTATCACCTGCACACTCAAACATGCTGACTGACAACCCAAGGGCCTCACGGTCTGTCCTTTTAGCCTTTCTCCAACCAGTGATGCCAGGCTCTCAAGTAAGTTCACACCCTTCCTACCCGAAGCTTTTGGGACCTGCTCATCTTCATTTCCTATTGACATTCTCTCACGCCTCTGTGGCGCCTCCGTGACATACTCCCTCCATCTCTCTTCCCCACTAACAGTCTAGTCCCACTGAGGTCTCCTGCATCACACGCTATTTCTAGAAGCCAGTGCCCGGCTAATTGCCACCCATCTTCTAAACCAGTCCTGTGCACACTGCCCACGTGTATGAAGAAGTACTTGCGTGAGCCAGGTAGGATGGCACACACCTTCAATTCTAGCACTGAGAAGGCAGGGTCTGGAAGATTGAGAGTTTGGGGGCAGCCTGGGCTACACTGAGTTCTAGTCCAGCATGGGCTGCAGGGGGAAAGCCATCTCAAAACAAAACAAAACAACCCTAAAATGAGAAATGCTTTTCAGACGGAATAATTTGTGTTTTTATCAACAAGCACCTTTTTTTTTTCCTTTTCGCAACTTAAGTATACATTTGAAATGTGGATTAAGTTCCGATTCAATGTGTGAATCAAGAATCCTATGCAATCAACACTCCACAAAGTTTATGACTGCTCATCTGGAGTATTTCCCGAAGGATGGGCCAAGCGGCTGCTTCCTGCAACCTCAGAACACATGCTTGTATCTGAGCAGCGGCAGGAAGGAAAGCCAGTCATGTAGGGACCATGTTTTATCTAAATGTGCTTCTAGGTTCTTAATTTTTTATTATTGATCTTTTTGCCAAGTATGAGTGATCATGTCCACACAAGTTAAGTGCATATATTAAGTACTTTTTTTTTTTTTTTAATGATTACCAGAAAAGACTTCTAATGACTTGGACCTAGGTCCCTCTACTGTCCTGATTTTCCACATCCAGTTCCTTGTTCTATCTAGGGAGCTCCTGGAGATCTTTTGTTACCGTGCCAACCGTGGAGGGCCCTTTCAGGAGCACCGATGTGTGGCAATGAGCCAGACAGCTTAGAAAAAAAAAATTAACAAACTGGAGCATGATGAGTAGCACTACGCCTTTTTCTCAAAGGGCAAAGACCTTGCCTCGGGCCTGAGCCACATCCTGGGACGAGAATGAAGTCTGCAGGACAGGCTTCCATGAAGGATGACAGGGTTCCCATCCTGTGACCAACTCGGGGTGGGAGTGGGACTCGGGAAAGGAATACGCCCTGGGAGTGTTGGAGCGAAACCAAGATCTTAGGCCAGGGTCTCAGGAGTGGGGGAGAGACAAATGATGAAAAACAAGGTGGGGTCCGTGTGGCCAGACCCAGAGGGCATACCCAGCCTTTACTCCTGGCAGCTTGGGGGAAGTTCTAGCTAGAGAGGAATTTGGTCTATTTACATTTTTGAGGATAAACTCTTCTTACTAAAGAATGGTTATTACCATTCGCTATCTGATTCTGAAAACAAAACAAAACAAAACAAAACAAAACAAAACAAAACAAAAAAAACCCCAGACTTTTCCTTACTGAGTGAGGTAGGGCACACGGGTTTCCGTGTTATTTCTGTTTGGCTTTCTGTGTGTGAACTGTCTGTAGTCTTTGTCCTTTGGGGCTCTTGCTTGTCTTGAAGATTCTTTACACATTTTGGACAGAGGCTAGAGCTCAGGGGTGGAGCCCTTGTCTAGCTAGCATACGCAAAGCACTGGGGTCCATTCCCAGCACACACCACAGATCTGTTCCAAATCGGAAGACAGGAGGCCTCAGCACTAAGTAGCAGTTCTTTCCTGGATTTGCCATGCCTTTTGGCAGCTTCCGGCAATGCCTTTTCCTTGAAGACTTTATTTCTGTGTCACTGAACGTATCATCCTTCCAAATCAAAGAGAAATACAAACTGAAGAGATACTTGGATGCCACGGCCGGGTGGGTTCATTTTGTCTGCAGCTTGCCAAGAGTGGCTTAAATTCTCTTCACCACCCTTGCTGTATGGAAGTTTAGAACATGCAGTCAGGGTGTGCGTCTCAGTAGCTGCGGCCTCCTGTGAAGTAGGACACGTTCTGTCGCTCTACCCTAAACCAACATTGCGTGGTTTGGGAGAGGGAATGTCTGGAGGGGAGAGTTTGAAGGAGCCTCCATCGGCCCGTGGAACAGAAACTGCGCGGTTTAGTTGAAAAGACGGAAGTGCCAAAGCAAGGAAACAGAGACCTCGGCGGTTAATGCACCGATGGCGTCCCACAGGGCAGGGTGGGAAGAGTGAACTTTTCCTCATCCCCTTCATCTCTTCTAGATCCAAAGAGGCTCAACAACTGTTTGGGGCAGATGAGTGGGAGGATAAGAAGAGGGCTGTTCACACCCAAATCCTGGAGTAGGGAGAGAGAGAGGAGGAGGGAAGAGGGAGGAAAACGGGGGAGGGGAGGCACAGAAGAGCTGCGGGCCTTAAGAGAAATCGCTGAAGGTCACACCTTGGGATGGGAAGCAGAATTCGAATTCAAGCCCGGAACTGCAGGGCTTGAGACAGACACACAGATGTGCCCTCTTCTCTTCTCGGCTCAGCAGTCCGCCCTTGGCCACGGGGCGGTGGGAGTCACACTTCCTGGAACTCTCCAGCCAGGGGTGTGGGGTCCCTCGTTTTTCCTGACTCAACCCGAGTGGGCACATTTGCTGCACTCATCTGCTGTACTCTGGGCTTTGGCTTCCTCTCTGTTTCCCCGAGCCCCGATCCTCTCCAAGTTTGTCTCACAGCCAGGCTGGGGACCGGGCAGTCTACACTGCCCCAGCGTCGGAGACAACCGTAACAATTACCCCCAGCGCCTAGGCGCTTACTTCCGCAGCCCCGAAAGCCACAGGCGAGCCGACCCCCAGAAATTACTGTTCTGGCCACACAGCTGAGGCAGCTACTACAGCCCTGGGAAACTGCATGATGTGCTCGGGGTCACGAGGCTGATCACCAGCGCTAGACCGAGCGCCTCCCGAGGGCCAGGCGCAGGTCCCCGCACCACCCCGCAGTCCCCTCCAGCACACTAGTAAAAAGGGGCACAATTACCATCCCCATCCTACGGACGGGGAGACCGAGGCTGCGGTGCCTGGCCCAACCAAGGTCACCCCTGAGAGTGACGGATGTACGACCGAAATACAGCCAGGTGACTGTGGGGTCAATTTTGTGTGTGTGTGTTGTTTCCACCACACCGAGAGCGGAGGGTTTCAAACCCACAGTCCCAGACGCTGGCCTCCTCGCAGGGTCCGGGGCTCAGCGCAAACCCAGCAGCTTGGATTGGCACAAATCGCGGAGACATTCCCGCGGACCGGGACCAGAGAGACACCCCCCCCCCCAAGAGCACCGGGTGTGACCGGTACTGGCCGGCGATCACCCCTTAACCGGAGCTGGAGAGAGAGCACTTACCATAAACGAGAGGGCCAGCGCCTGCCTGCCCGCCCGCCCGGGAGGAATCCCCAGCGCTGGCAGGTCCCGGACTCCCGGGAGAGGGTTCTGCTGCCGCCGCCGCCCACTCAGGGGCGCCCGAGCGACCCCGCGGGTGCTGGCTGCTGCTCCTTCGCCAGCGGCGCGTCCCCTCGGCTGGTGCCCGGCGGCAGCGCCCTCTCGATCCCCGCAGGGTGCCCTGGAGTTAGGGACGTTCTTGGCGAAGTTGGCGCTCGGGAGCAGCGAGAGAGGGCGCCGGAGGTCCGGTCCCGGGGTAGTGAAGCGCCCGACCCGCCGCCGAGCTCAGCGAGGGCTCGGAAGCTCCCTCACCCCGGCCGCCCCGAAGCTCGGCTCCTGACCCCGGAGGGCGGCGAGTTCCGCGCTCAGGGCGCACGGGCCGCCCCCCGGCCGCCGCTCCCCGGAGCGCCCGGTTTCTTCCCCAGCGCCCCGGGCGCACGCCGCGAGGGCTGCAGCGGTGGCCAGGGCCCGGGCTGCGGTGCGCTCATCGCCTTCCCCAGGGGCCGGGCGCCTTTGTGCGCGGGGCGCGCCGAGCGCCGGGGCCAGCTCTGGATGCTGCAGCCGCCGCCTCCCCCTCCTCCTCCTCCTCCTCCTCCTTCTCCTCCACGGTCGCCCGCTCCCCGCCTTCCCGGCCGGCCTGGAGGCTGCAGCTGAAAGCCGATCCGGCTGAGCTCATCCCTGAAGGCCACTAATCCAATAGCCGCGGAAGGCGCGGCCGCCGGGAACGCCCCTTCCCCCACCATCCCGCGCCCCGGCCGTCCCAGTTCGAGCCGTTGCCGGCTCTGCCACCTTCTGGAGGCCACCAGCTGGCGGGAGAGGGTAGTGAAACCCGCGCCCCCGGCCCTGAGCCGGAGTGGCGCGGACGCCATTCACTCCTCTGCCGGCCTGGACATTCGCTCACACACGCGTTCATTCATGCGCGCGGGTCCTCCCCCATTCATTCAAGCGTGCCTCGGAGAGCCTCGGTGTTGGCCCCATGGGGGCGGGGATGAGGAGAGGAGATTGCACAGTCACCGGATTGCTCTGGTGCCTGCGCTCAAGGCGTGTGGGAAACGGCGACCGGGCAAGAGAATGCTTTAATAAGACCCCATGCTTCAGGCACACACATGCCCACACTTTATTTCTGAGGCCGGACTCTAACTCATCTTTCAAAGTCCAATTTCATGCGGCAGGCACCTGCTCTACGGTGCCTTTCCCCGCCCACCTAAGAGAGGAATCATTGACAAGCGCTGATGGTGGGCGGCTCCCAAACTAGCCTGAGCTCACAGATAAGGAAGAGGGCGTGGCCAGAGTAGGGGACCCTCTGGACTCCTCTCAGGTTTGTTTCCTTGGGTAAAGCGAAGGCTCCTGGCCAGCGCGTCCTTCTTGCGATCCCAGAGTTGACGTCAGGTCCGTTCCAGTCTTCACTGACCTAACTCCTCTCTGATGGGCTTCGAGCAAAGATTCTACATCAGGAAGTGTCTTTTTTTTTTTTCCCCCCATGGACACAAAAGACAAGCACCTGAGATCAGATCCCAAGAGGAAAATGTGTTGACCCAGACTCTGGAGTTCATCCTCCAGACGGAGGGGGGCAATTTGAGGATGTTTCCTTTCAGACGTGGCTGCGTGAATTAGCTGCTAGATGCGGAAGGCATCATGGTCTCATAGTAGGTGCCTCCAACAGCCTGTGTTGGAGCCAGAACGGAAGGTAAGATGAAACAGGAGTGGGTACTCAGGGTCTTGGAGACCATCCAAAGGGCTTGGCTTTCCCCCAAGATAACTTAGGCAGGCCTCTTGACCTTCACAGACTGGCTGTCCAGAATGATAACCAGTTGCGGAATGGATAGATAGATGTATGAATAGCACAGGCCAACTCGGAGGCTTCTGCAAAGGTCCAAGCAATAAACAGGGCTTTGCCAATCAGGACAGCTCAGTGGTGTGGCAAAGTGTTTATGGTGCTTATGATTTTATTTCTGCATGTCTGCATGTCTGTCCCTCTGTACCCGTGCGTCTCCGCATACCCTTGGGACTGCACAGAAGAGTTGCTGAAGGAATGCGACCCATGCACACACTTGCTTGTTCCTCCTCGAATCTCTTCCCTCCTCAGGACGTTTCTAGAGCATCTGCTCTGCCAGCTGTTGTGGTGCTGATAGAGCTGGACAGCATGAGGTGAGAAATGCGGAAAACTCGGAGTAAAGGGGAACTTAAGCAAGACTTTCCAAGGACTGGAGACATGACTCCGATGTTCTCGCAGAAGACCAGGGTTCAATTCCCAGCACCCACATGGTGGTTCACAACCTCAGTTCCAAGTCAGATGCCTTCTGCTGATTTCCATGAGCACCAGGCACGTACATGATGTGCATACATTCGTGCAGGCAAAACACTCCTACGCTTTAAATAAGCCTGAAAAGAACAACAAAATGCCTAAGACTCTCCAGCTGATGGTTTCTCTACCTGGACCAACACTCATTTCTTCCTCCTTGCTGGGAGATTTCACAACAGCTTAAGAACAAGGTGGGGAGGGGTCAGCAGCCACAAGTTGAGAAACTACTCCCCCAAACACAAACCTGTGTGCCAGATAGGTTCACTCCACAGGCTTTACAAATGTGACTTGCCTCAGCACCCCCAGGTGTCACTGAAATTTCCCAATTACTCCACCCCCTTGAATACCATAGACATGGTGTGTCCCCAGGTTTGAAATGTGCACAAATATCTATTCATTCCAGGTAGAATATCCATGGAAGACCAGAGACATAATTCCACCCAAGCCTAGTTTGGTGAACCAGGAAATTTATTGGAGTTACAGAAGCTTATAGAAGCATAAGAGACACAAAGCTATCACTAAAACGCCTATCCCAGTATGGAGGACAACTCGGGGAAGTTGCATCTCTGGGTCTTCCTGCATAGCTTGCAATCAGAAGAGTCCCCACACCCCAGCTTTTACAAGCTTGAGAAGGGGCCTTGTGAATCCTGTAACTTTCATGAGATTTCTGAGCCTTCTAAGTTTTCTTAGTTTCAGGAGTCATACTGAATCTTTCTCCCCCCTCTCAGAGAGAATATTTCAATTGAGATGAAACAATCCCATAGGGAGAGAAAACAATTTGCCATTTCAGGAACAGCCTGGACAGCCTGATCCACTGTTCTTTAAACTGTCGTCTGCAGCCTACAAACTGGCCTTGGGTAATCCCTGACCCGGAACTGCTGTCCCCTTCCTCTGAAGTGTAGGCTGGAATCGCTGTCTTGCTTTTCTCCAATAGAACACAGTAGGACAGACAGGATGTTCGTCCTAGGATTGGGTTAATGAAAAGACCAGCTGCTCTGGGCACTCACTGTCTCTCTTGTTCTTTTGGCACCAACCCCTGAAGGAAGCCAGGTGCTGTGTTGTGAGGAAACCTGGTGAGGGACAGAGGCCTGGCACCGGGGTAGCACATTCCTCCTCAGCTGAGCCTTCCCATCAGGCTGCAGTCCTTTTGATGTCTTTACATATCCCCAAACACCCAAACCAGAGGCATAAACTGAGCCACACTGATCCTTGACTGTGGAAATGCTAAGAAAATGTTTGTGATTTTAAGCTTCTGAATTTTGGCATTGTTTGTCAATTGGCATCAGATAAGTAATATAATACATTCTTAACTGCCAAGGAATCGATCTACAATAAATCCTTGATGAACTCAGCATAGTCTCTTTTTCCAAAGAACGCAGAATGTTTCATGGACATATAGCTAAGCAGTCGTGGGCTTAAATCTCAGTCGAGACACGTTTACTTCTAGCCTTCTCGTTGGAAAAACAGGGTATCTTGGTTTGGGTTTCTGTTACTGTGAAGAGACACCATGACCACAGCAACTCTTATTAAGAAAAATATTTAACTGGGGCTGGCTTACAGTTCAGAAGTTTAGTCCATTATTGATATAGCGGGAAGCATGGCAGCAGGTAGGCAGACATGGTGCTGGAGAAGCAGCTGAGAGGTATCAGGATTGGCAGGCAGCGTCTGACACACTTCCTCCAACAAAGCCACACCTACTCCAGCAAGGCCACATGTCCAAATAGTGCCACTCCCTCTAAGCCTATGGGGGTCGTTTTCATTCAAACCACCACAATGGGAAAGAAGAGTTTCTTCGGAGTGTGGTTTATGTTGTAGCCTATTACAAAGTAGGTATTCAGTTAGTCCTTTTCCTTATGCTTCTTATCAAAATCTGTAACATTTGTAGAATTTTGGAATTAGGGAGAGTCGTGCCTCGGGTAGAAGATCTGTGAGATTGTGTCTAAATCCTCTCTTTTAGGCTTTTCAGTCATACAGATTTATGCAGCACAATGTAATAAGTGAACACACGAAAGCCACGAACCAGCCGTCTTCTGCCTCTGCTTTTCCAGGTCTTGGTTTGCCGTCTACCACCCAGATGTCAGCTGTCAAACCTTGGACTCTTTCTCAGTCTTGCAGAAGCACTCACCATGGTTTTATGGCAGCTGAGGAAAATCTGTGAGTCCTGTGACCTTTTGGAGTGCAGAGCTTCCTGGAAGGAGGTCTGTGGCAGGCCAGGAGAAGGGGAGTGTAGGTCTGCTTGTCTTCAGCTTGACCTATAGTATGATTCAGAGCAGTTGGGGCTCAGCATTCAGATCCTGCTTTCCTCAGCTCGGGTGCCATCATTGCTACCAGATGTCTGGGTGGCCTTCAGATATACTGACACATCCTTCAGGGCTCCTTCTATGACCCATTGGATGGTTTACACTTCTTAGTGGGGTCTGGGTGTGCCCATTTACCTAAGTTTACCTCCTTTCATCTGGCCCTCAGAGAGGACATAATCAACCACAGAATCCCTGAAGTGTGTCCAGCTCAGTCTCCCCAACACTGGCCTCATCACCTGCAGACTCTTTTCCCTGGTGCTGACCGACCCCAGGTTCCTCTTTTAGCCTGCATGCAACTCATCTCCTCCAGGAAGCTTTCTGCACCCCAGACTTGACATATGTTCCCCAGTGTATGTCTTCCGTCTTTCCTACCCTCGCTGCTGCTTCTGCTTTTCCT